GAAGTGTGCCACAATATTAACATCCTCATCATCTTCCTTGGTCATAGCCCAGATTTCGAACCTTTCAAAGTAATCTTCAAAAGCTTCTGAAGTTGAATGAATATCTAACTTTTCCATTGCAGGCTCCATCGCGACGCCAATATAGTATTCTAATTATAGTATGAATTAGGAATTCCAGGATTAACGCAATTGAATTAAGAAGACACAGGCACAACGAATGTACTGTATTTAGAATTCGAAATCGAGCATTCAACCAGTACAAAAGAGTCATTAGTTAATTCAAACACCACAAAGTGATTTGTCTCACCCATGAAGTATTAGTAGATTACTGATGATTTACTCAAACAAGGTCCAGTACCTATCTAGTTTTCTGTAAAACAAAGTAGGATCTCTGAAATTTTGTTTGCTTGTTTAATTCTTTTTATGCAATGATCTAAACACCTTTTGTTTATTTATCATTATCGTGATTGATCTCCTGACACACAAGATATTATTTTCTGTTTATTCCCTCACTTCTTTCCTTCTACATAAATTTTATTTCCAACCACCAAAAGATTACAAGTGAAAATATATCTTGTTATGATAATTAGAAGTATTCAAATTATTGTACCAGATTTTTTAGTAAACTGCAGGCATTCTTGCCGATGAATGTGAAGAAATGAGCCAACATTTTATCATACTTAACATCATTCTTGATCATAGTCTAGGATGTAAACCCTTCTATGTAATCTCCAAAAGCTCCTCTACGGGTCTTTTAACTTTGCAGCAGTAGTAGAATTGACGTTTGCTTCCGAGGTTTTGAAATTTCTTGCTTGCACATGAGAATGAGGGGACTTTGGATTCCGTAACCAGCACTTAGTTAGAATTATGCCCAGTGGTCAGAAAGTAAAGCTGTCGCTGAAGCATTATTAAATTTTCTAGACGGTCCACAATCATTGATGAGAAATTCACAATTTATAATTGGGGATTTATCATCTTTAATCAACAAAGTACAGAACACAAGAACGGAAAGTTAGTAACCAGTGATACTAAAAATGAAACTTCGATAGGCATAATTAGTGTCTTCAACTTCCCAAGCGAAATGATGGACTTAATACTGTCAGTTTCAACAATAAAATAGTAAAGAGCACCACTGGATAAATATAATCGTTTTCGAATACGAAGTTGAAAATAAAAATAATATATAGTCATTAGAATCACCCAAGTTAATAAGAGCTGTATTACAAAGTTTAGCATTACTTGAAGCGAAATACACAGTAGTTTTACAAACCGACTTGATGTGTTCGATATCACAACACATTAAGCATTTAGCATGATGAAATACACATGAATTACGTGTGTGAAATTTACCACAGGACAAATATTCACCAAGCTTGTGCTCACCCTTGTCACCTGCTTTGAAAATCCTCACTGAAATGTCAACCATATTTCCGCGAGAACGAGTGTTATGGTCAATTAAACGCCTATCTGTATGGCCTTGAGTACACGTCGAATTCGGATAACTAAGCACTTTATTGGAATTCTTGATGTCCTAGAAGTCAATTCCATGCACTGCCTCATAATTAATACACGCAGTTCTAGCATCTTGAAAAGAACACTTCGACATTTGTATGAACGCTTTTTCCAGATGTGATATGTTAATCTGTGAAATCAATTGATCACGCAGCTGATATATCCATTTTCTAGTTGCGTAACAGATATTTTTATCCATTATGAGCTCTTCAGTAACGAAATATTACCAGTTTTTACATAATTAGTCACAAAAGGCAACGTATCTAGCACTGCACTCCTAGTTCCACTCAAAGCATATTGATTAGTTTTATGGGACGGGTTTGCACACATATCAATTATTCTACGGATCACATCAAAGTAATTTAGCTGAACTATGAATTTCGTCAATTATTTTACTACTATTTAATTTGTGATTAATACTTTCACAAGCGAAAATGTATTTACTACGGTTCGATAATAATTTACAAGTTTTCACTGAACATTTTATTTATTATTTATACACCAATTTTTGTATTCTAACTGTTATAACGGTTGGGTTTTCACGTTTACACGTATGGGACGTTAATTTACCTTAGACGAATATCCACACTAGATTCCCCCCCGTGTCTATTTTACAGGACTTCAACATAACTCAGATCAAGAACACGTGATTAGCCTGACTAGAACGTAAATATATTACCATACCAAAAAACCGACACAGTACAATAACGACGAACAATCAATAATAATTATTATAAGGATAGGGGAATATATAACTCTCTGACACCTGTCAGACTATCTACATGTCTGACTAAGCAGACAACCAATCATTATCATTCTCGTCTACACATCACTAACCAAGTTACGTTACGGATTAGTTTATTTTCTTAAGTTCCATTCTCTAGACTGTGATCATCCCAGTGTAGGGTTGAGAAATGCGTATGGAATGCGTCAAATAAACAAATTTCTACCTCAGTATTGTGGTTAGAAACTTGTATAGTGAAAACTTACACTACACACTCAAATGATAAATTTTCAGTGTAAATTTTTTTAAATTCTAAACTGCTCAAATGACTTAAACGATTTTGTGATCAAATTATTTTCAAATGTAAAAGTCGTAACATTTTATTCATTATGAAAATTAATTGAACTTCAACTAATCAGATCGCAACTGGAAGTGGTTTAAAACCATATAAATTGTTTTGTAGTTTAACATAGATACTCCTTTTAGAGTACAAAATGTGTGATAAATTATTTTAATAACAATTAAGCTACTCACCATTCTTTTAATATCTATTAAAATCCAACCATATTTCGCTTACTATTAATAAACTAAGTGTTAAATATAAATTTTCTAGCAAAAACAAGTACTTAAATTGTATCTAAGTTGATTCAGACGACACTACTTTTATTTGCAAACATTTATTACCTACTGTATTTGTGATTATAGTTCGGTCTCACCACATTTTTATGGTTTGTACAGCTAAACGATTTTCGGTGGCACTTATCATCGTATATAAACAAATATTTTAGATTTCGTGGTTAATCATTGATACGAAAATTCGAAAGATGAATGAATAACAAACTAGGTTATGGATACTCAAAAACCTAAAAGACTCAAGTCTGACTGGTTACAGAGGTCCCCAAATTCTTTTTTAAAAATAGGTTTAATATCTGTGTCAGTAATTATGAAGTATGGTTATGTTTGTACATCTAATCTTTTGAATGAATACAGCAAAGATGCAAACACTAATTTTCCGAAACTAGGTTTTATGAATAGATTACTACTAAGACAAACCTGTGTTTCATGGGTATATGTCTCACTTTCAAGTTAATCTAACCTAGCAAAACAGAGGCCATATATCATGTCTTAAATACTTTCTTATTATTCTATGGATAGTAACTGAGTCAAAACATAATTTACGATTGGATAGTATGCACAAATCTAACTTATGAAGTCTTTTATCTCAAGGTAAGCACAGGATCTTCGGTGGTCCACGATTAGTGGTTCTCTCAGTTCATTTTCGGATATGTGAGTTATCTTTCAAACACTGCCGTGTAGCCTACCGACTGCATCCAATTTTAGCTTGTAATGGTATTGAGTAACTTGTATCAGAAACTTTTTTACCCAACGTCGTAAGAGTTCGTCATAACATTAATACTATGTTACAAACTTTAAATGAAAGCTAAACAACAATGATCCATGGATTCCGAGTCATGATTTTTATGACTTATGTGTCATTTCGATTTAGATTTAAAGGGAAGTTTGTAGTCGATGCCAGCTGCATTTGTAGTGTGCTTAAAGACTCATTTAGCTAGATTGATAGATTTCAGAGATATCTTAGATCACTTTTCAAAGTACACAGATCGATAACAATTGTTTTCTGTTTCCAGGAATAAACTATGAAACTGGTCATCACTCTAAATCCCTAATTGACGATGACATTTATAATTCTCTTAAACAGACACCTAGTGGTCTATACAACTTCAAACTTTAATATAAATTCAGTTTTTGAAGCCTTGTTCTATGTCTAATAACAAATTACTTTAAGTTGTAATCTTGGCCAACATCTACAGAAAATAAAATATTCTCGACGGCCACTTTTTTAAGAGGTAGCTTACAAAAACGTTTCTCTGAAGTAGTTGACCTCGCATTCCAATCTTGATTATCTTATACCACGTGACGTGCTTTCATCTTCCTAACTAAAATACTGATCCGTTGATAAGTTTTAGTCTCTAAGTTTATGAGATAGAAACGTTGCCTGAGGTACTTCATAACATCTTACGGAAGTTGGTTTGCGCACTGCGTCTGAGACTATTGAAATGTAACAATACTTTGGTTCCGGATAGTCTTATAGCACTGCTTAGATTTAGTATCATCGAGATCGATGATGACATACCGAAGTTTCATGTCAATCTAACTATAATCTACTAATATCATCTTCATGGAGGATGACTAAATCACGAATTGATGAGTAGTGTTAAAAGTAACTCTCCTGATACGCTGGACAAGAACAAGGGATAGGATAGATTCTAAAGACAAGTTACATAGTCTACCCAGCTAGTAGAACTTTTTTTCGAATAAACCTAATTATTCCATTTGAATTAAATAATAAGTGTTTTGTATATAACAGCCAGTTTTATTGGACGTGGTCCAGCAACCCCTGGTTCATTTGTGACTATTTGAGTACATTTTGGATAGATCTGGGAATATTTCTATTAGGTTAATTAAATAAAGTACTTTTAATTACTCCATAAATTATTTAATTTTTTTTCTACTTATGATTATGAATACTATCGTTCTAAGTAGGTCATTCAGCAGGATGTTGGTATTTGCTTTGTTTTTGAACGAAAAAATTTAAAATAGAAAAGTTGAACAAACAGTTGAATAAATTTATCAATAATGTAAATACAAATCATGATAACGAGAACTTTAGATCCATCCACAGGAAAATCTTTTGTTTTACAGGTCATGTTTCGAAGGTGGAAAGATGTTTTTACCCGGAGAATTAAAGGTGAATAGATGTTGTTTGCTTTTCAGTGGTTTTAATGGCTTGGCGCCTATTACAAAACCAAACACGAATAACTTCACGATCATAAGTCAAGGCTTTGGCTAACTCAGTCATTTCAGCTTCTAAAATTCAGTTTAAAAAACAATCATAACATTTTTGAGGAGTTCAATGAAACAGAAAAGTAGATTGATAGGAGACTGACAAATTCTAAGCAATCTTGTGCTTTATAAAATGTGTTTTATAAAACAATATCGTATTTAAAAGTGAAAACATTTTTAAAAAATGGATTAGTAAATAATAACTCAAAGTTAAATCATAGAAAATCCTCAGTGGCAGAACACTATGATGTTTCTAGAAATAAGAAGATCATGTACAGTAATGTAGACTGTTTCATATTTCTAGCAGCTGAGAGATGAAAAAGAACCATCAGTAAGCAATAGTTTATTTTATTCACAATTATCATTTAAAATCTAAAAATCACTTCCAAGAACAAACAAGGTAGATAAGAAGCAGTATAGCTTCTATTTTCACACCAGAAGATGATATTTCATTAGCATAATGTTTAGTTTCATTTGATCAGTAATTGTTAACTCTAAATATTATATAAACTTAGTTCTATGTTTTTACTAACTTCAATAATTTCCGATTTTTGCATTATATTCTCAAGTCTATATGTAAAAAGTATAACAAACGCTATTTGTGTCTCAACTCAGTCCTTCGCCTACCTTACAGTATTTTTTCAAGACTTGATAGATAAATTCCATCCACAAATTGCAGTACAAAGTAGGTAAATCTTACTTCAAAAACACACAAGAACACTCATGTGCCCGAAATGTTCCCTTCTCAATATCTAAGTGAGATGTTTTACTGTGTTTAGTTTAGTTACTTTCTGCAACGTAGTCAAATAAACAAATGGATGTACTTGTCGAATTCCTATATGGACAGAAGTGTTACTGCTAAAGCTTACCGGGTGATATTAGTAACTATTTTTGGATTTCATAAGTTTAACTCTGATATCAAAACTAACAGAACTGTTCGTAAATAATTTATCTGAGTATATTGTTCAAATTGTGTTGTTCGTTGTAGGTTTATTCGAATAATGGAAAAAATCATGCTAATCTACAGATCATTAAGTTAGTTGCATTATCGCAGTACATTATGTTACTATATACACTATACACGATAAACAAATACAGTGGATAATAGCGATATTTGAATGACGTTTATCTGTAAGCATCAGACATTATTTACAGTGACCAAACTAATACATTTTTACTTATTATAAAAAGTGGTTTTATGATTGTTTGAACCGTTTTGATGGTCTCCGGAGTAATGAACACGAATTAATTTTATTCCGAAAGGAAAATATCTCTTAAATAAATTGAAGTCAGGAACAGTTTTCAAGTTAGTTTTACTGAAGGTTTACATGTGCAGTTAATCAATGAAATTATCACTATCAGCCACAGTGGTCATTTACTAGAGCTTCATACATTTGGTAGATATATCTAAGTAACTTCACTAGTCTGATTGGATATCAGTATCTTGATTTTGATGTTTCAAGACTGAATTGTTGTAGAAATTCTCAAGCAGAAATATAGCTTTGATTAAGAAATTTCTCGTCAGAGGCTGTATCTCATCTGAAATAATTAATTTGATTGGCAGTAAATGGTTTGATATTATCTTCGTTATATCAAGAAAATATTTTAACACAATGATTCACTTCTATTACTCTAAAAATGTATGTCCTACTTTATACCCAGTCATGAACCTGATCCTGCACGTTGGATGACTCAGGGTAAACCGGAATTAACAATCCACCTAGGCCTTATTCTTGTAGTTTATCAATAAAATGACATTGAAGATCCCCATAATCTTGTAAAGACTTGAATCCAAGTCGCTCGGCACTCCACATTGGAGTGTCTAGACAGCATCTAGTCCATTATATGACTGCCAAAGTGTCAGATTCAAAACCAGTGATGGAATTTCTCTTTCGTAATGATCATAGATACATGCTGCTGAAAAGTGCAACAAGTGCAAAACCAAGGTATACTGATTACTCGCAATGGGCTTGAAGGATTCACTATTAAATAAAATATACGTCAATATCAAGTAACTTAGTTAACTGATTGAATTTCAAACCTGATTAATAGAATTCAGATACAACTAAATGGCCAATTACTGTGGGCCTTACTTTCTATCAACAACTTAAATCACTATAAAGTTTAATACTGGAAATTAAGGAAATTTTTATTTCTAAATAAGTATATAATCACTTGTTGGGTAAGGATTCCTCTCAAGTTGGTGCAATAAACACTTTAGTGCTTTAGTACTGAAACAGGTTCTACGTTTACGCTTCCTAGGTGGTCGGTGTACAAGTTGAGCTCCAAAGGCATCATTTGCTCCATTGTGATGCATTGCCTGGGTTTCAGATAACCAACGTTCTAAGACAGGTTTCATTCGTTTTGCGGATTTTAAAGTTACATCAAGTTTCTCGAATCTGAAACAGATCATCAGAAAGTATATTTTAGTTTTTTAGCACTTTTATATGCTCATAATATAGTTTTTAAACAAAGACGGTTATGTAGAATCAACATTTAAACAACGTTTTAAATATGCTAATAAGCCATGCTTCAAAATAAGATTGTAAAGCGGTATATGTTTATAGCCTTCCTAAAAACCCAAAGACTTTCAGGTTGATAACCATAAGGTTAGCTTCAAAATATTTGGACAGTGATATTAATTAACATGATTAAGTACGTTCATCTACTATTATACAATAGGTTGGTCAAACCCTAGGTAAGTTGCTATTCGTTTAAATTTCCAACAATAATTTTGATAATAAGAGTGTTTAAATCTTAGATACCAAAATTTTGTTCATGCGTAAGTGCCAGAATGTTGTAAAGTGAGTTCGCTTAACTTTATATTCAAGCTATTTCGTTGTTCATTCTTCCCTGCTTTATTAACCTAACCAACCTGCTAATGGAATGATTCGCGATTTTTAACGTAGGAATTGTGCTTATCAATGAACCAACACCGCTAGGTTTGATTGATTTTTTAGTTTCAACCTTATTTCCCTTTTTTCAAATGAATTTCGCCCACAAGATTATGTTGTTTGTTCGTAATTATATCGTCTTGTTCCAGGTTTCATAAAAGAAAGATGATTCAAGAAAGTTATTTTTATTGGGTTATGCGGGCTATTTATGAAGCTCAAATTTTAATTCCTGGTAAAATTAAATATAGAAATGCCAAAAAGTAAGTTACAATGATCGCTTTAATAGTACGGTTCAATGTCTTGTATGCAATCCATTGTTTTCAACGCTTCTGGTAACAGTGAATGGAAATTTATTCCAACTACTTCTTAGCTTGTAAACTATTGATAATAACATGCTGCATACTCCAAGTTTAACTTTGTGGCAACTGATCAGTCCCATACATAATACTTATTTTTGGAAAGAAGATAGAGGTTATTAGTAAATACTTCTAAGGAGTCAAAGCTGTAATCTAGTGGCAGTTCAGAATTTTATGTTTCTAAATGTTTTTTAAAAAATTTAATACGATAAATAAAAATAACAAACGTGAATCCAAAGTTATGACTTACCGACAGATTGCACTTTGACTATAGGCAGGTCCTTCTTTGGCATTTAAAGAAGCTCCAACTTGTGTCTGTGTCAAACCCAAACTGAGTCTACGCAATTTAAACAAGTGTGCAAATTCATATATTTCCGCCAAATCATCATTAAGTGAAATTCTATCTTCCTTCTCTTGTATCATCGTTTTCAATCTTTGTGATTTTGATGAAGTGCGTAAAGACGAATTATCTGTTTGATCATTTGAAGCAGTCTTTGAATCGACTAAGTCTTGATTTAAATTTGATAGCAGGGATTCACATTCACTATCTGAATCATATGCTACCGATCGATTGTTAATAAGTAAGTTGTTCTTTATGTGCGATGAAATAGTTTTTTGTTGGTTGGAAATTTGTTCACACTTATATTGATCCTGTGAAGTCAAACTGCCACCAACTACAAAAGATGAAAGCCATCTAAATAAGGAGAAAGTATGATGTCGAGTTTTGTCTGATGACTTAATCTAGGTAAAAAGTGAACATTCAAATTCTACTTTTAAAAATATGATTCTGTTTTCGACATGAATTATGAAGCATAAGAAAGCAAATTCATAACCCTCTATATGTCACTGATATATAGTCGATTCACTGAACTTGTCTCATCATACCAGTAATAAAGATTTTGTTAATTTCATCTCGAATCATTTGAAATATTTACCATAAAATAATTTTGTAAATCAATTTATTTTTTGCTTTATAAACATTATTAACCCAGATAAGCTAAAGCTGAGAAATGTATTCCCATAATTTATATTCTTTTAGTAAATATCACGATAATAAATTAAAGACACTCTGTTGGGGAAATTTTCAACTATGTATCTCTGGTGACATTATTTTATAAACTATAGAGTCACCGAAGTTATTCCATGGTCAAAGCAGTTCAACTTGATTCAGGTTTAAACTGACAATTATTCCTAAGCGATTTTCAGAGATCAGTAATAAACAATAATGTAAACCTAATGTCCAAACTTTAAAATATTTCGAAAAATATAGGTGATTTCAAACTATCCACCAGGATGGCAGTTCACATTTAAACACATTAACACCAATGTTATTAACTGCAGTACTGAATAACACTGAGGGGAAATCTCTAGTGACAAAAGTATTTACTTTGTAATCGGTATTGGTAAACATGAAATATAAGTAAGGAACTTTCTCCTTGTTAATCCCAGATATTTAACAATGATCAGTATGAAATGTAATCATGTCTTATTGTTCAAACAATTTCAGATCGTCAGGGAGGAAGAATAGATTTTTTATTGCAAGAATAATAACCGAAATAGTAAAACACCGGCGATATATCAAGAGATTATGATAGCAAACTGTAATCCGAATTTTCTTCAAATTTTATTCACCTGTTTATAATTATGGCTTATTTATTAATTAGCGCAGTAACTCCAATTTACAGAAGCTATGTGTAATGTTGTTTACACTATATAAACTTGTGACAGACTTTAAATGGAGAAAGTTACAATTTAATAAAAACGATAATGTCTACTTTACTAATGAGTGAATATAAAGCATTTGAACTAAGCACCTAGTTTGATAATATTTAGTTTTAAAATCACGAAACCGGCATGTTACACAAAAGCGTAATTACAATTCCTGTTCTTGTAAAATATGTTAACATCATCCACTCAACGTAACAGAGCTCCAAAAATAATCAATATCAATTAACTCAGATATTTTATTATATAATAGTACATTTTATCCTTGATTCATCATTCATTAAACGTTAATTGTTGTTTGCTAATCATTCCAACAAGAAAGAAATATTGATTTAATTGTTCTATAATTGAACATTCATACAACTGAACAGTTATCATGTGCTAAAAGGAATAAATATGTGTGGATATTTAAATTTGGGTGAGTATATAATTTGACTTCACTACTAATTTATCTATCTGACTACAAAATAGTCATACTGACTTATAAACTACACGGCTTAGAAATAGTCATTTATTTAGACGCTTCATCAGTAATCAGAGATCGTCACTGACTTTACATGATTTGAAAAATAAAAGCATCAACCATAAATTCGATAAGAAAAATGTTTCCTTATCAAGCTGTTTTAATTATTAATTGATTTATCATTTCTTTGCATCAAAATATAACTACTCTAACTGAAGTCTAGGCTAAACTGAAGGTATGAAAGTGTTTTAGGATGTCACATCATTTCACTGATGTTAATGAACCATTTAACGTGATTTTATTTTCATTATTAGTCGGAATAAATTAGAACTCATAGTTTAAAGACGATTTTGTTTCTTATCGGTAAAAATTTCAGCTAAATTATCCATTTCAAACAAGATTGAGTAGTTCATAAGAAAATTAATATCACTCCGTCCATCCACCATGAGTGATATTATTGACCGTTCTCTTTTCATACTGTTTGTAGAAATCATTTAAAAAACAGGATCGTGAAGGTGCATTTGAGTTCTAATTTTATTATATAGAGGGGAATGATTTCACACATTTTCTTTTCTAATACAGTTCTACTTATTGTAAGAGATGAAAGCAAAATTGTCATTGCAAAATGAACTACACAAACGTATCAGGTCATGAAAGCAATTGTGATGGTTTGTCTGTACATCAATGGATTTAAAATGTTTGAAATTGTCATAATGAACAACGTAGTATTTCATTAAAACAAACAACAAAATAATCAAGATATCTTACTTTGATCTGTTAATAGATCATCCCTCGTATTTGCTCGAAAGTGTGTATTTGATAAATTATTATTATTGTTATTGCAGTCAGCTTCGTTGTTTGAATTACCTGTTGTCACAAACACTTTGTATTTATTATTATAAATCTGAATTTGTTTTTGAAGTTCTTCAATCGAATCTATACTATTGTGTAAATTATTCTGTTGAACTAAGAGATAAAAGTAGCGTAACCAATTCTCATAAAACGTTTTATATGATAATGATTTGTTGGATGGATCATATTCTTCGGTTTGAATTAATTTAGGATCTAAGTGTAGGAATGATTGAGCTAATGAGTCCAGCGATGGATGGTAATTTGATGTGACTGGAAAGGGAGGTGTTCTGTGTTTGATTGTTTTTGATGAAAATATTGTATTCCCAGCAGTTAATGCTAACGGTTGCAAGCAAGATCCAAATGAATGTTCTTCAGTAATATCGTCGTCAGTCATATTTTTTTAGTACATGTATATTTTAGGATCTAAATTAATATCTAGGCAAATTAAAGTGAATCATTTGTGATCTTATTAATATTGAAATAAATGAATTGAACAGTTATTAATTCTACTAATTATACACATTATTATTTAGTTCTTCATGAACTGATTAGACTTGAAAATTGAAATTGTCAGAATCACAGTTACAGCTTAAAGATGAAGTAACTACCCATGTAACATTTGTAGCAACTTGGACGTGAGCTGAAGTTACGATTGCTATACAAACAGACACCAAGCAGGTCAGACTAATTCAGTGTAGGTGAAAATGACTATTATATTCAGTAGGCGACCCTTATTTTTGGTTTTAGAATAAAAAAATGGATCATTCGTTTTGTAAATCAAGCTTAAAAAACAGAAACTGACAAGCTTTACGGATAGTCATGACTGGAACACTTCAACCGTTTAAGGCAAAATACTTCTTGACATAGAATAATAAAATTATTTTACCAGATTAAGAAAGTCATTTTTCAAAAGTTAGAGGCGCTTAAACCTCTCATCGGGATTTTTACCAAGTTGCAACTCAATTTAAGTTAATCAATCCCTGAAAACTACCGACCTTATAAATTCCACGACCTTGTGATGTATTTCAAATAAAGTTTTGTATTTGTAAAAGATTTTATTCCTCTGTAGTAGATACTTAAGATTGTAGCTGATCAAATTTTGTTAGAATGAGTAAATATTGAGTGTGGACCTCGATGATACGTTTCATAATTAAAAATTCTTAGTCCACTTAAAAAGTATCTAGCAGTTGGATCATGGACGCTCAATTAGTCTCATTCCCAGCCTTTGAAAGATGTTTGTTGAAGACATATGATTGATAAAGTGAAAAGATTGGCATCAGCGACCAAACAAGATATTGAATTAAAAAGCCATGTGGCAAGTACAAATATATGGAACGAAATCATAATGGCACAATATGTAAAAGAACACGTAATCTTTTTCACACTTGAAATTACAAGTCGATCTAAGCTAGACCATCTTTGAAAACCTGGACGGACTGAACGGCCATTTCTTGCTAGTACGGGACTCCTCTGTAGTGCTCACCCACGATCCCACATGCGGAACCCGAACCTAAGACCTTCACTCCTGCGCAAGAACACTTAACCTCTAGACCACTTAGCCGGTGTCAAACGTTGTTAATGTCTAATTCCAATCAATTCATGATCTTTCGCAACTCTTCATCCATTGTTTGAAGTGGATAATTGTACGATTCTTATAGAAAGTACTTATGTTTCACTAGAACCTCCCAGTCTTTTCACTACATATCTGAAATATTTTATTCAGTTATTACATTTTGGTTTTCAAATATTTAACTTTATATAAGCTATTACGGAACTTTAGGTAATGAGGACATCTGTTTGTTCATACTTTGAGGTAAGTACCATCCACAAATCAATTGTATTTTTATTAAATTGAAGCCATATTATTCAGTCCTACACCCAAATATGATTAGATGGTATTACATGAGTTGCAACGAACCCCACGTAGAGACTAGTATTGTTCATGAACATAGTATTTGATATCCACAAAGGTATCATCCGTATTTAATGGTAACTTAAATATATCTTATAAGCTGGGGGTTTTGACCGTCAGGATAAATGACTCAAAGACCCAATCAGAACTGTAGAGTAAAGTATAACGTGATCTAATAACAAGTTATCTATTCTTAATTAATTGTTTTCAATGTAAAAATTGTTAGCATATTCTCCGTTCTGAAACTGATGGAATATTTTTCAATGGTACATATTTTCTCACTTCAATCAACTTATGTATAACACTATCATCATCCATTATCATAAGTGGTAACTACTTTGAGAAATCCATCTCTAAGCTATCCAATATTAAGTATCAGATGATTATTTCCTTGCGTATATTATGGAAATTTGTCGAAAATAGATCTTGATCGGTAGAATAATTGTAAATCAACAAATACTTAGATTTCGATATGTGTATAAAATCACTTTGGAATTCCATTATTTGAATTAGAATAACCAAAGATTCACAATTCTGAATAAAGACTGTCTTCGTATCGTGTTTTCAAAACTTATAAATTTGACTTTCACCACTATATTATCATAGAAGTCGACGAATTCTTTGTGGTTTTCATGAATTTAGTCAATAATTATTATGAAAAACGTCTGTGAACGAATATAAAGAACTATGGAAAACCAATTAAATTAATAAAGATCACTTGCTACTAATTAAATATACTTTACACTGTAATCATATTTTTTTTAAAATAAAGACCTTACATAATAAAATAATGATAGTAAAAAGATTTTTACTCACTTAAAATTATGTTTTAGAAAGTATCAGTTGTATAAGGTAATTATCTTTTCCAGCTTCCTTTATTTACAGGCTAATAAAGTAAATTATGATAGGCAGTGAAATTATAGTAAATCAGGCACATAGTAGGCAGGGAAACAGACAAGCGCCTTCCCTTCAATCGAACATTTAAATTATTATTTTTACTATTAACATTATTATCATTAATATTCCTACAACATTAATTAGTATTTATATCATGAGGTTTAATATAATTATGGTTTTTCAAATATTTACTATGCAATTGTTAGGGTATTCGAATGTCCCCTCTCTAATTCACTTCGTTTGTCCCCCACGAATAATCTATTCTAATATATGTGTCTTATATTCTTATAACATTGGCTGGTTATTTGTCCAGCCATCAAAAGTTCAACTACACTTTGCTTGTGTGTACATGGGCACAAACCTGTTCCTATCTTGTAAAGTGAACTATGGAAAAAAATGCTTGTGTGCGTGCGACCTGTGTTTAGAAATATACATTTATAAAAGTAAATTTAGTTATAGGTAGAAAAGCCAACAATCTACTTATATGCCAGATATTACCAAAGTAAATACGGAGATCCGATTACTGTCTACAGATGTTTACGTTTCCACCTCAAGTAGAAAGACTGACAAAACGCTTTAAAAGGAAGTTTATAAAACTTTTACTTAAAACTATCATTAAAATAAAGTTTAGAAAAAATGCTTGAAAACGAGTTCTATACTATAACTAATGCACTTGGAAAATAATCGTAAACGTTGTATCATTAGGAAACTATTTTGTACTAGTTCAAAATCGTCGAGCGTTAAAATCGTGAACAGATTTAGAATAGATCATATGACACTCACATCTTTTAGTAGGCTCATCCTTTGTGGGCGAAATTTAAAAGTTTATTCAAAGCACAATAGTAATGATAATAATAATCCTTATTAATAAGGATAAAAATTCTAACATATATATTCAACTTCCACCATTCATAGTCCAATATAGAACAGAAGGGGAAAATTTAAAGCTCTATCATTGAACAGCTGGTTGAGACTAGTCACCAGAATAATATAGGAATTAACTCCTAAGATTATCTATCGCATTCCATCCAAATCTTACTAGGCAAAAACAAACCTTAAGGGACTGAATGAACTAAAGTAAGCCATTAGCCCAGTTAGATGAATATCTAAAGCTGAAATGGTAGGATAACTGATCGATTCGCTTTAATTATTTTATAAGCGTTAGAACTGATGTCCATACACCATAAAACTCAGTGAACAGATAGTGAGGCTGTTCCTTTGGTTATCTCTTCACTGTTTTTATTTCAGAAAAACTAATAAATAATGCTTCAGCTAGTTATCAAAATCTAAAACGTATCATTTTCTTTGCCACTTAATTATTTGTTCTACAATTTTAAATGGAATTAAATACAATATCCTGTATTGTAAGTCAATAAACTAGTTTTTCTATACAATTTGTATAGTCGATGCTTCATTTCAGTTTTACTAAGATTATACTCTTCATTTTCTTTGAGATTTTATAAAAGTATTTGCATTCGAACTATCAGAAAGAAGCTTGAGAAGGATACTGTAAATTTCAAGAAACTACTTATGGAATAATCAGTTTTTATATTCTCTTTGCATTTGTGTTAGGGTGATCCAGAAAATTTCTGGCCAAAGACAAGCAAGGACCAGGAAACACTAAGACGCATTTCATCCAATCAGCGTTCACTTGAAGTTTTAGCCAGAAACATCAAGGAAGTGAAACGTCACATGTAGAGGTCCTGATTGGCTGATTGCCATACTGCTACTGTTTAGTAGCATTCCAGAATCTTCGAGCAACCCAAGGACATTAAAAAAAACTTATATTTTCTGTATTAAAACGAACCATTGGAGTGGGTTGCTTCTCGCATATTTTGCGTCTTTTCTCTCTTGTTCAGGTCGTTGTATAGTGCTAGCTTGGGGGTTACAGAATAACTTAGGAAACGAATATAGCGTTCAATCCGCACAACTTATCAATTTGCTAAACAGTTGTTTTGTAGTATTTTTATATCCCTCTAGTCCTAAGCTATCGTTTGACTCAATGACTGTTGCGGTATTTTTCGACGTTCATTAATTACATGTCATTATTAATAAACCTGTCATTCAACTCTCCCATTATTGTCCTAGTTGTGTACTGATTGAGATTGATTAATTATTTGTCTGTTGTGATCTTACATCTTATGTATATAATTGAGTTTTTGAGTCTAGATAAAACATAGTAATATCTGGTATACCATATGCTTGCAATTCTTTCTTTCTTTAGAAAATCAACTTCAAACTCACACTTAAACTACGACGACACCTATGAAAGTGTTCAGTAAAGCTATATTACCATGTTTTTGTAGTTATATTTAAAACGTCATAAGTTATATCATTTGGAATACCAACTAAGTTTTTGACACTCAATTTTAATTGATCTACTTGGTTAAAAGTCGTCTTCTCTTTTCATAAAATAACAACAATAATAACTAAGGCAAATAGGAAAGAAAGGGAGGGGGAAAGAATCAGTGAAAATAAAGTTGTAAAGAAGGGATAATCATTAATACTCTTATGAAAAATGAGTGTACACATTTATGATGGACATGTGATGTTTATACAAAACTGTCTTAATAAGATTGTCATTG